TACCTTGCCTAGGTAAAATGGCTACAGAGAATCAGGCTACAGCATTATATGGCCCCTAAAGCACTGCCTGCTGTATATTCTGGTTTTGAGGACTTAAAAAGGGGGACAGTGGTTGCTTTTATTTCCTTGCTTCCTTGCAAGTTATTCTCCTTCATCCCCATGCTTCATTTTACTATTTTTTATTATGAAGGACAGCTACTGAGCACCAGCTGAAGCTTAAATGGTTGAAGAAAAAAAAAAACAACCCAAACATCTGTATTATAACAGGAGTTGGTGGCATGCAGCAGGAAAAAGTGCAACAATGCAATAACAACAAAAAATTAATCCTGTTGCTGTGGAGTCAGCACACAGCATGAAAGGAAAACAGCAGCTCTTGCCATCAGTCAACAGCTACCTCTTCAGTTCATTAAAAGGCACCACAGAAAAGCCTGAAAGACAGCGTGTCCTCTACTTTGAAATCCAAACAGCATCTTTGGGATATCAGGGGGAGGAGAAGAAAAATATACTCAGAAAACAGGAGAATACGCAAAGAGAGGTAAAAGAAAAGATCACGATAAGCAGTACAGTGATTTACTGCACTAGTATCTATAGAAGCTAGCTGCATATCTCGATTAAAAAAAAAATAGTTAGATGTCTTTTCCGCAGCAGCCACCGTTAGAAACGTCTTTCTGACCTTAACTGCTTACTTTCCCTTAGAGCTATGTACTCCCACTGAAGTCAAAAGGGGCTGAGCAAGTACAGGAGTAGCAAGCATATATCTGGCCTAATGTGGTTTCATCTCTGCAAGTGAGCCCTGCTCAGAGTGACAGAGCAGAAAGGTCAGGCTCCTGCAGGGACATTATCAGCACATACCCATGGGGCTCTAGGCAGTAATTTCTTTATAAGTGCCTACATACAACCACAAGTCCCATTTTCCGGGGCACCAAAGTTAAGCACCAAGGGTTAAAAAGAGATATCTAATCACATTAGGGGTTGCAGTTTAGACTCAATAAGGAAAATCTCTAGAGGCTGGTACAAACAACTGCTGCTAGCTCTCTGTCAAGGGAGTGAGCCAATGCAAACGCAGATCCCAATTCTATCTGGCTTTACAAAAGAGCGCAACAAAAGCATTTGTACAAAACTACCATTTTTAGTACAACAGATGCTGCTTCTTGCAAGCAAAGCTAAAACAACATGCTTGCAGCAAGCTTTCTAAACAAGGTCTGTGGGAAGAGAGGACATATGTTTTTAATAACATCTTATAAACATTTACAGGAAGCAGCAGCTACATTCCATATAAAGGCATTTGGTGTATTTTGTGCAGCATGGTGTGAGGGAGTAGGAGGGGAGCCTCAGTACAGATAATTAATTTCTTTATATTGAATGCTTACACAAATCCACAACAAAAGGTTTTCAGGGCCTCTGCTGCTGCTCTGCATATAAATACACTCACATGTAAGGGTCTATAACAATATGTGGTACAAAGTATGCAATATGCTTTGTTTTTACCATTTAGGGTTTGATCACTTAGCTGTAAAAGCCAACCTTGAGTTGCACATTGGAAAAGAAGCATCGCAACACAGCACAGTTAACTATACCAGCACCAAACTGCAGTGCAACGAAGTCAGTAGACATCACCAACTGCTGCTGAATATAGCCAGGCATCTTTCCAGTGAGCAACAGCAAACGATGGCTGCTATGATTCCAGGATGGTGAATTACCTTCAAAATGCCATCCAGCACAAGTGTTTTGTCCTATTTGCTGAGGGAAGGTAAAATGACCTTTTGAGAGCAAGACTTCTCATAAGCTGCTTCAAACAGACTTCCAGCTTCACCTGCCAGTGATTTTCAAAGTCTCTTGTCTAACACAAAGATGCCACATATATTTAGATCAAATTACAGCTTGAAAATAATTGCTCATCTTTTCTGAGCCCAAACTTGTAAAGCACATCAGGTATGTATGTCAATTCTAGTGTATTAAATTCAATTCAAATCATGACATAAGCAGACAAACAGCCTTTCCACTTCAAGAATTTGCTGCTAGTACAACAAGAATTTCCTGGCTAGTATTTTACAGAAAAAAAAACAAACAACCCCAAAACAAATCCCAGAGAAGCAGTAAGCAACAGCAACAAAGCAGCCAGGCCTATTACACCACTGAGATTTAGTGTTTCAGTGTGGAGGGAGCTTTTAGGACCCTTCCCAGACTTGCTTGGTCTGAAGTTGCTTTGCTGGTCCGCTAACGGCCATCTGCCTAGCAACTGCCTGAGCAGAGACAACACAGTCATTTTCAGGTAGTCACAAAGACACATCTAATTGAAATAGATGAAGATGTCCAGTTTTAGTCTAAAAGAAACACTCTCATTCAGATAACTGCATCTGACATACAGCTTGTACTTAGAGTGAGATTGTCCCCATGCCCATCAGTATTAAGGGCTATAATTTCAAACAGATTACCTACAAAAGTCAGTCCAAAAAGACACTAAGTCCCCGCTATTCCCACTGATGACACACTTCCCACTTGAACAGGTACTAAACATCGCTTATCATCCCTGGGTATTGTCACTATAAAGTAGAGTTTCTCATTGCTCTGTGTGAAGGAGAGAGTTCTAGGCAGGGTTTCCAATTTAAACCAGTATTTATCAATAAATGCCTGCAGGACACAGTACAGTGGAGTGCTATGAATAAACAATGAGAACAGCTCAGAAGTTGGGACTGCTCAGTTTTAAGTTCTGTGAAGTCTCAGAAAAAAATCAATTGCACTTATGAGAACGATCACAATCCCAGAAGGAGAATATACCGAGTACCTGGGGTGTGCTTAAAGCAGCAAGAGGAGTTAACACACTGCGCAGGCTCAGGATGGGGTTTGCAAGTAATCACCACTCTGGTGTCTCGGAATTATCTTTTCCAAATGTTCACTGGGGGCTGTGCACATACTGAGCTGAAAGCAAATGTGATGATTCTCAGTCCAATTCAAAATGTTTAGCAAATGATACAAAAATTACTGGACAGACTTAGAAAGCAACTCTTAAGCCTCATCTTTCACATCACCATAACACAGCAGCACATCAATTATTGGTGGAGGTAACAGTTCTATCTGAAGCTGCTATCCCTTTATGCCAAAATAATTAACATCTTTGGGAAGGGGGGAAACAAGTATAAAAGGACATATTGTACTGCCTACTCCAACAGATTTGTTTGTTTTCAGACTGAAGAAGGATTGCTGTTAAACACTGCAAGCTCGTCATGTTTTGTGAAAGCAGATGGGGCTGCTTTTTTTTTTCCTTCCTTTTGTAAATCCTGGACTGCAACTCCAATCCCAACGGGAAATCACATTAAACTGGACAAATGTTTCTGCACTTCTCTGAACCTTGGGACAGTTCTCCAAGTTTTGCATCTATTCTCCAATAAGAAAGGATGCACACAGGAATCAACTACAGAATGGTTTGCCCATTTTTTTCTTTAAAAAACCACCAAAAAAAAGAAAAACAAGACTGTAACTCTTACTCCCCTCTCAGATAAACTAAAGCTGTAACACAGCTGACACAGATCAGCCATTACCTGAAAAAAAACCACCAAAAACCCAAAACCCCAAAACAGAGGGCTTTCAAATAGAGCTACTAACCCAGCGGCATAAACTGTCCCAGTTTTGCCCCTCTTTAGCGGACTCCTTTTAAACTCTCACACCCACTTTTCTGATTAAACTCTCCCAGGAATTAAAGGGGGGGTGGAATAAAGGTAAGAGTTAAACAGTGAAACAGTGTATAAAAACAAAGTGCTAATTACTTGTCTTTTAACTACTGACACATCGTATTTCACTGCACATTACAGAGAGGTTTAAATTAATGCTAACATTAACAGCAAACTATTACTTACTATTTCCTTAAGCTGAACTTCTTAATGTCTAACTGTCAGAGTAGTTAAAGATTCATAAACACTATGTAGTAATTCATCTGCCCATTACTTTCATCAGCATCAACCCAAGAGTTTCCTTTTCCTCATTTTCTCTTCTCCTTTCCCCACAAGCCAAGTATTCTCCATGTGAAAGCAACCTGCAAGAAAACTGAGAATGAAGGGCCAATCCACTTACTTTACATTCAGAAACCAGGAAACAGCCTTAATGGCCGAGAAAAAGAATTCCTTAAAAAGCTACTGGATAGCCATATTCCTACAGAAAGGCCACTCTGTGCCTTGATGCTCCCTACCAAAAAAGAGCAGGCTCTGACCATACATACCTGTTGGTATACATGGTTTTTGGTCTCATAACAATCACTAACTTTTAGACAAACCTCCTCACTTAATTCCCAGTAATTACTTCACGATTCCTGATGACACTGCATTTGAGGAAGTGAACCTCCACTTATCTAGAGAAAAGCTGCACTTTACCTGTGCTGTAAAACTCTAATTCCCTGCAGTTTTAACACATCTGCATCATGTTCTTAATGAACAGTCTGGAAGCAGAATTACACCTCCTGTGTTACTCACATGGACAATTTAGTACTTGAATTCCATTTGGATACCAGAAGCACGGTCCCAAGGAGGACAAGTCTGGGCAGTACACTGCCCCCTGCACAGCTAGTCATCATCAAGGCCGATATTAGAGTGAGCTGCATTAGTAGTTTACTTTGCAAATTTTCAAAGCAAAAGGTGAAACCAGGGCAACAAAACCTGGAAGTAACCCAGTTACAAGTGACAAAACATTGGAAACATACAGTGCTTTTCAGCATGCAACACAATGCCTGCAAATACAAAAGGAACAAACACTTTCAACAAGGAAAATAGCAGCATGCTACATAATCTGAGTGGGTAAATATGCACTATTACACGGTAGATAAGCCTGTAATTTTAAGAGGTCACTTTCCAAGGCAGTTGTGTTCCAGAAGTCAAAAGACTTTCTACATGACAGGTCCTCTGGAAAATCCAAGTGACACTTTCTAAAAGCAAGAACAAAAAAAGAAAAGTCTTGTCTGTCTGCCTCTTCTTGTCCTGGATGGCCTAAACTCAGGTACTATTTTACTGTGCAAGTTGCAGACATTACTTGCATTAAGAAAGATAAAAATACTTGCCATGGATTTTCTGAGCTTCCGGGTCATCCACACTGATAGCAATTATCTTCCAATCTGTCTCTCCTTCATCAACAAAAGCTAAAGCACCCAAGACCTTCACCTGAATGATCTCGCCAGAAGAACGAATCTGAAACAGAACATAATCTCAAAGACTCGGAAAACACTGCATAAAACTTCTCTTTTACCTTACAGACAAAAGTAGTTTTACTGCATTTTTGACCAACAGCTAACAGAACTGCAAGATAGATCTGTAAACACAGTGCACATCTATCATTGCTATTCTTCAACCCTCAATTCTCCAGCCAGCATTTAAGTAGACAACACAAGCTACAAACTTCTTCCTTCTCTCCCACCCTACTTCCCCCACACCTTCTTGACCTTCACCCCAAACTGATAAAAGTATCTCATATTCATTGTTTAACTCCTTCCTTCCTTGTGACTCTCTACTTTCTCAGCTCTTGCTCTTAATCTATCTCTTGCTGTTCCTTCCTCTACACCCCAACATACACAAACACAGCCCTTTCCCAGAAATATAAGCACAACTCTCTTGAATTTCCTTGGGAACCTCCCTACCAGCTAATATTCCCTTTGTAACTCTTTCTGGATCCCTTGAAATTCAGCTTTAGGGTCTCTTCCTCAAATAAAGCCAGCTTCACTTAGGTCACCAATTAAATTTCCGCTTACCTGAAATGTCCCAAGAGATACCTCTTCCAAACTCATCCCTTTCATAACCCTGTCTTTGATACCATGGAGGATTGCTCCATTCTCTGCTGTCTCCAAAATTTTCTTTCAGTGACCTTCTCCCCTATACCTACTGATAAGAGTTTGCTGCACCTCTTCTTCATCCACACACTCTGTATCTCATAACTCTGCAACACTTGCAACAGGTTTCTGTCTTCTCCTCTAGAGAAGGAGCATCTAATTCTGTTTGCTCCCATGAGAAAAAAATCAAACCTACCTCCTTTGTGGGTCTAATCTTGTCATTCTATATGCATGACGCTGCCATACTTCCTTATATTTCAGAAACCTATTTCTAGCTCCAGTAGCACTAACGAGGCAAAGAGAACGAAATCTTTTCCTTCCCCAAAAAGCTTACCCCTCCTCCTCTTTCACCCAAAACTCACTGTACACAGAACTTCAGGGTGGTATTCTCTTATTTTCTCTTTTATCCACTACACAGACTTTATCTAATCTTGGGTTTTTTTCACCTTTTTAAAAATCCACCACTTCACAGAATCACAGAACGTTAGGGATTGGAAGGGACCTCAAAAGATCATCCAGTCCAATCCCCCTGCCGGAGCAGGAACACCTAGATGAGGTTGCACAGGAAGGCGTCCAGGCGGGTTTTGAATGTCTCCAGAGAAGGAGACTCCACAACCTCTCTGGGCAGCCTGGTCCAGTGCTCTGTCACCCTCACTGAGAAGAAGTTTCTTCTCAAATTTAAGTGGAACCTCCTGTGTTCCAGCTTGTGCCCATTACCCCTTGTCCTATCACTGTTTGTCACCGAGAAGAGCCTGGTTCCATCCTCGTGACACTCACCCTTTAAATATTTATAAACATGAATGAGGTCTCCCCTCAGTCTCCTCTTCTGCAAACTAAAGAGACCCAGCTCCCTCAGCCGCTCCTCATAAGGGAGATGCTCCACTCCCTTGATCATCTTTGTAGCCCTACGCTGGACTCTCTCCAGCAGTTCCCTGTCCTTCTTGAACTGAGGGGCCCAGAACTTTTGTCATCTCCTGAGACTATTATCATCTTTTCTTGTTTCCAACTACCATTCTCTTCCAAACGTTTTTACCAAATTACTAAATTAACTTTAATAAATTAATCCTGATAAACACAAACCTTTGAACCTATTTCACAAACATCAATAGGATCATTATCTCCACAACATCCTGTGTCATTATCTGTATGGTTTGGATCTTCCCAGGTCTGACAAAGGAAAGAGAATTATGAGTTACCAGCTGATCTGCAATTACAACTTGTCTAACTACTAAAGTACTAAGATTAATAAAAACACCAATAAAAACATCAGCTTTCTGAGAACAGGCTTGCTCAATGAAAAAAGAACGAACAAACAGCCAATGGACTGACATTGAGTAACTCATCCTCATGCTCAGGACAAGTAAGAATACTGAGGACACAGTAACAAAAATACTAACTGCACCCATCACTCTGACACACCTTATCAATCTGCAGTTATTAAGGCATCAGAGGACCCCGAATATGTATTTTTCTGGTTACTGGTGGTTGTGGGATTACGCTAGGACATCCTGCAATTACATTCTTCTTATACTATTTAAATACCACGGCACTAACGTAAGTTGCTTTCAAAAACATCTAGGCTTTGAGCTAACCAAGCTCCTAGATATGGATTTGTCAGCACTCAGCTTTTTAAAGTGTATATATTTAGGTATGAAGTATTTCTGAGTATTTTGAGATGTGCACATTTCCAAGGGCAACTCATAGCTTAAGACCAAAGAAACTTCTTCAGGAGGCAAGTCCAAATTCCTTGAAATTCATTGCTATACTCCAGCACCTTCCTGGTATCTCCTCTTCAGGGATCGAATACATAAGCATATTTTCAGGAGTAAACTTTCATTGCTTATGCATTTAAATGTAGAAAAAAATAAATTCCGCTTTTCTAGCTGCATCATATTCTTCAGTACTGATTTAAGTTCAACGTGTTATTCACAGAAAAGAAAAAAAGTTTAAAACTTTTCATTACAGTCAAAATTTCAGCCATTAGTTGGGCTTTTTCAAGGCTCAAAATTCTGAATGTGTCATAGTAAGTAAAAGTCTCACAGTTCAGAGAAAAGTTAACTAAGGCAGCTGAGGTTTAATCTAAAAAAGAACAGCCCTTGTGTTCCTCTTCTTAAAGATATTAAGAAATCTCAATTAAAATTTATGCTGCAGTACATGCAAATCTTAAATTAGTTTTTTTTTTTAAATGTCTTGTTTAAGTAGAAGAGGGTTACTTGACAAAGTATTCTCAGATGGCAGACCATGACAGTTGAGTTCTGTCACTACAGTAGAGACACGCAAAGATTCGAGACTTCTTGATCATTTAATTCCTTACTGAAATACAGCACATATTTACACCCACATCCAAATTCTGATCAAAATTTACAGTCACAATAAAGCTCAACATAAAAAAAAAAATCTAATTTACAAATGTATCAGAGAGACACATCCCTCTTGCAACTGATTTGCATTCAGGCAGTACCCAAGATTTACAAGGCAATTTACACAGAAGACAGAAAATTTTCACCATTATAACAAAAATGTTACCTGTGGGAGGGCACCATAATTCCATATATAACCCTTGTGAGGGAAGATATTTGCCACATATCGAAGCTTGCCTTTCTTTATATCTTGTTTAATGGGATTCAACGGCTCCTCAGTGGCAATCTACAGGGAGAGAAAGAGAACGAATGAATGGTAAAATGAAAAGCAATTCATTCTGTACCCAACCAGTTAGAAAGATCCATCTGGGAGCACGTGCTTGTGGTTTGAGTAGTATTGAAAGTATGATGGCCTCACTCTAATTCTCAAGGGTCACGTTCAAAAAGCAGCTTATTAAGGTTTTAAATAATGTTGTGAAGTATGCAAGGAAAAAATGAATCTAGAAGAGAAAGTCATAAATTTATAAGGAGACTGTCACGGTCTAACAAGTCCTGAAAGAAACTTACGTTAGAAGCTCTTGCACTTTATGACACAAGTTCAACAGACATGCAATTGGTGGCACGAGTTCTGACAACAGGGGCTTTGACAGCAACAGGGGAAACATTCCATCTTCTCCTCACCCTCTGTTCACTGCTCTCCTGTTGCATACATCCCTTCTCTCCACCACCTCAGCATACAAATCACAGAATGGTAGGGATCGGGAGGGACCTCTGGAGATGAATTAGTTCAACTCCCCCACCAAAGCAGGTTCACCTACAGCAGGTCACACAGGAACATGTCCAGGCAGATTTTTGAATGTCTCCAGAAAAGGAGACTCCACAGCCTCTCTGCGCAGCCTGGTCTAGTGCTCTGTCACCCCCACAGTAAAGAGGTTTTTCCTCATGTTCAGATGAAACCTTCTGTGTTCCAGTTTAAGCCCGCTGCCCCTTGTCCTGTTGCAGGGCACCACTGAGAAGAGTCCAGCCTCATCCCCTTGACACCAATGTAGATATTTAGAGGCATTAATAAGACCACCTCTCAGTCTCCTCTTCTCCAGGCTAAACAGATCCAGGTCTCTCAGCCTTTGCTCATAAGAGAGATGCTCCAGTCCCCTCATCAGCTTCGTAACCCTCTGCTAGAATCTCTCCAGTATTTCCACATCTTTCTGAACCAGGGAGCCCAGAGCTCGAGACAGTACTCCAGATGTAGTCTCACTAGGGCAGAGTAGAAGGGGAGGACAACCTCCCTTGACCTGCTGAAAAACACGCTCTTCTTAATGCACCCCAGGATACCACTGGTCTTCTTGACCATGAGGGCACATTGCAGGCTCATCATCCACCAAGACTCCCAGGTCCTTCTCCACAAAAGAGATTTCCAGCAGGTCACCCCCTACCCTATACTGGTGCACCTCCCTAGGTGCAGGACCTTACACTTGCCTTTGTCGAACTTCGCTAGGTTCCTCTCTGCCCAGCTCTCCAGCCTGTCTCAGTCTTACACAGCCTTTTGGTGTATCAGCCACTCCTTCCAGTTTTGTACCATCCACAAACTTGCTGAGGGTCCACTCTGTTCCTTCCTCCAGGTCACTGATGACTATACCGAACAAGACTGGACCCAGTCCTGACCCCACTGCTAGCCACAGGCCTCCAGCTAGACTCTGCACCACTGATCACAACTCTCTGAGCTCTGCCAATCCGACAGTTCTCAATCTACCTCACTATCCACACATCTACCCCACACTTCCTAAGCTTATCTGTGAGGATGTTCTGAGAGACAGTATCAAAAGCCTTGCTAAAGTCAAGGAAGACACACCATCGTAAAAGGTTATCAGATTGGTCAAGCATGATTCCCCCTTGGTGAATCCATGTTGACTGCTCCTGATAAGATCCTTTTCCTCCATGTGCTTAGAAAGGACACCCAGAATGAGCAGTTCCATCACCTTTCTAGGGATGGAGGTGAGGCTGACAGGCCTGTAGTTTCCCAGGTCCTCCTCCTTGTCTTTTTTGAAGACTGGGGTGACACCGGCTTTCCCCCAGTTCTCAGGCACCTCTCCTGTTCTCCATGACTTTTCAAATGATGAAAAGTGGCTTAGCAACAGCATCTGCCAGCTCCCTCAGCACTCATGGGTGCATCCGATCGGTTCCCATGGATGTGTGGGTTATGAGCTTACCTAAATAATCTCCAACCCAAACCTCCTTGACCAAGGGAAAGTCCTCCTTACTCCAGACTTTCTCTCTTGCCTCCAGGATCTGAGATTCTCGAGGACCAGCCTCAGCAGTACAGATTGAAGCAAAGAAGGCAGTCACCCCACCTTCTCTGTATCCTCCATCACCAGGGCACCCACCTCATTCAGCAATGGGCCCACATTTTCCCTAGTTTTCCTTTTGCTATTATATTTATTATACTACTTATACTTGAAGCAGCCCTTCCTGTTGCCCTTGATGTCCTTTGCCAGACTTAATTCCAAGTGGGCCTTAGCCTTCCTTCGTTGCATCCCTGTATCCTCTGACACCATTCCTATATTCCTGTATATTCCACATTCTGTGAACTTCCTTCTTCCATTTCAGTTTTTCTAGAAGCTCCATGCTTATCCAAAGATTTAAAAGGAGGTCTCCTGCCTCCTTTGCTTGATTTCTTACTCACAGGGATGTACCGATCTTGAGGATTGAGGTGGTGCTTGAATACTAACCAGGTCTCTTGGATCCCCCCTACCTTCCAGAGCCCTCATCTATGGGATTCCTTCAAGCACGTATCTCAAGAGGCCAAATTTAGCTCTCCTGAAGTCCAGGGCTGCAATCCTACTTGTTGCTGTGCTTCTTCCACACAGGATACTGAACTCTGCCATCTCATGGTCACTGCAGCCAAGGCTGCTCCCAACCTTCACATCTCCAAACAGACCTTCTTTGTCTGTTAGTACAAATGCTTTTTAGAAAGGATAAGTGCTCACCTGTGAAAGGGATACAAAACTAGAATCTCAACACTTTCTAATCGCAAGGCAAGTGTCTGTATGCACAACTTCAAATTATTATTTTAAGAGAGAAAATTTTATGTGTAAAGAGCAATCCACACTGTTTAAACTGACTACTGGAAGCCACTGCATTGTCATAATTTTCATATACCTATATAATCAAGGTATTTTTTCTAATTACCTCCATTTTTGCATTTGTCCAACGAGGCACTTCTACAATCATATTAAACAGGACCTAAAACAAAAAGCAATGATAGAACTGAAAATAAAATCCACTTAGCAATTAGTATTTTACAGTAAATTTTCTCCTGTGTCTTCAGCAGCAATATACATCACATCCCTCTTACAGCTGCTTTTATGTTAAATAAAATTAATCTAGTTCCACACCATGAGGAGTTCATCTCCTCTCCCCATCTCACCCTATTGACAACATGAAAAACTACAAGTAGTGGAAATCCACATGATGTTTCTTATTGCCATATTAGTATTAGTCTTCAAAAAATGTTCAGAAAGTCCCCAGAATGGTTTATCACAAGGCACTGGTTCAGCCTACTAGTCAAAGAGGACTGGACATTTCCAAAGGACAGAGTTAGCTTCCCTCAAGCACTAGAAAGGACGTTTTCGCTTTTTCCCCTGAAGATTTGTTTCTTCAGACCCTCCTCTTTTGCTTCATTAATAAAAAAAAAATAATCCATGCAAATGCAACAACCACTGACATTTCTGAATCTCAGTCAAATCTGGTTGAAGTAAGGCAAAATGAATCCAAAAGCAATAGCAGAGGAAGGACACAGATACCTCATGTTTACGTTAGCCTTCTTCCTAATAAAAACAAAGTGAAAGTTTTTATAAGAAAGGGAGTATGGTAGGAATAAACCTAAAGCATGTAAACTTTTATGTTTTTGAAAGAAAAGTAATCTACACTCTTCTTACTGAGAAGGTTAAAGTGACATTTGCTATAAGGTTTCTTCTTCTAAAGCTGTCAGAGTTAAGCACTATCAAGGAGTAGAGTATAAACTGAAATGGATGACTAGACCAAACTACCCAGCAATGCCTACAATCTATTTTCTCCTAGGTTACTAAAATAACTCCAAAATATCACATTGCCTGGGACACTTCTTCAAATAAAACTTGCACTGGTATTAAAAACCACAACAGTTCAGAAAGCACAAAGTAAGTTTTTGCAGAAATTTGTAGGAAAAAAAAAGGTATGAAGACAAACTGAAGACTTGTACTGACTTTTTAACTACACTGCAGTTAAGGCTCCAGTATTTGTATTTTTGCTGCTTGTATCCTGCAGCTGCAACAAACAAAAAACATTTCTAGGGTCAATGCCACAGTCTGATTAAAGTAATTCCAAGTAATTCCAATGGTTCTGTGATCAACTCCTCCCAGACAAACCTGGAATGTGGAAAGCAAGAAAGCAAAGGAAAATCCCAACTGTCACTCAGCACTTCTCCCATGAGATCACAAGCTATGCACAATCCAGACAGCAAAGTCCCAGCAAACTTAAATTAATTTTGCCAACCGTAAGTACTGTGCCCATACTGCAATCAGTGGCTTGTCAGATGGAATAATTTTTCTCAATCTGGTCATAGCAAAAATAAAACAAGGAGGAGAGGGGAAGAGAAAGGTGCTTCAGGTCAGGTTCATAAAGTACACCTTATGTATATAAGAATGGCTGAAACAGAGAAGTAATCAGAAAGAGAGCTCAAAGATTTCAACACTAAGGAAGCAGACAGAAGAAAACAATATGCATGCAGCAGCAGGTAAGGGAAGGGTTGGAAGAGAGCCAAATAAAGTCTGCACATCCATCTGGGAAGCACTTGGAAAAAAAGAAATGCACAGCATGAAAGCCAGTGCTGACAAGAAAGTCGGAGGGAACTGCCAAGCAGGTCAAAGAATTGTCTTTACTGGTAGCTACTGGCAGAAAACTTACAAACTACTCCTGGAATTATACACGATGTCTTCCCCTCCACCACAACGCTGTATTTTCTGTTGTATACATGTCTCTGCATGCGTTCCTGACCGTGTTTAATACACTGGCTTCAGTAACCTGTAAATCTTGGTTTTGAGCGTTAATTGGCCAAGAGTCATTCCAGGTCCTCACCAAAACAGCTCTCAGGGCTGGACAACAACTGGACTGAAATGACTGCAGTGCTGCTTTCAAAAACAAAAAACTACTTGGACTGCACTCAAGTCTAAGACCAGGTCTTTATAATTTGTGGTATCAGTCAAATGTGAATTGTCAAGATTCTTAAATGTGACAGCCTGACAGATTAATTTGTATGCAAAAAAATCCCCGAAAGTATTCTCTCTAATGCTAAGCTGTCACAGACATTTACAAGAGATTAATAACTTCATGCAGTGCTTACAGTCAAAAATAAAAAGTTTTATTTATAGGGCAATCACAAATGTGCACAGCGGTGAGACAGGATTCACTGGTGTGGAAAGGAGAGCACATATTAGATAGTTTGACAGATACAAAGAGAGAAGTATACTCCTGGCTTTTTAGGGGTTTTTTTCCTTCTTTTTCCTATCTTGTTTCCCTCCTTGCCTAAATAGACCCAGGAATTCTTCCATCACTCTTGTCTTCCCAGATAAAGAACCTATTCCTTTTGACCACTTGCATGCTCTTCCCCAGCCCTTGCTGCAAAACCATCCCTGCCTCAGCTCCAAACAGAAATGCAAGTGTCAGACACCACCTGTTCCCAGATTACCATCTGCATATGCCATTCAGTGGTTAGTTTTGGATGGTGGAATGCAGCTGGTAATTTGACATTTTTATCTTTATTTTAAATCAGTAAAACAAAAAATTCCACCTCACCACACCCCCAAGTGAGCACTTCTACCTCAAGCAATGGTGAGACTGTTTCAGCAGCCCATTTGACACACCTTCCAATGACAGAAAAAGAAAACTTCTCTCATGAAATGAAAACTATTGCTTTGCAAATTTTACCACTGAACTGCCTTAGTGTGACAGCAGTCAACTGGGCTGCCTATGAAATCACTGCATGCTGCAGTCCAGACTGAAACCCTCTCTGCCACTCCACAACAGCAGACCACAGCAGGCCAGATGGAGCAGTTCCTGCAGGGCAGTCTCCTGCCAGCTCTGCTGGCTGAGTGTTTCTTCAGGACAGTCTGCTGGAGCATGCAAGGAAAGACGAGGAAACAGTTTCCTGGATTCTGAAAAAGGGACAGAACCCATCTGTGAGAGGAAGCGAACTGACAGAGCCCAGAGGGACTTTCAACCCAGGGCATTACGTAGCTTGTTTGACTTGGGGTTAATGTGAACACTAGACAGACATTTGTACTTATGCTCTATTATACCTTGAAGAGGTGATTTGGAGGGGGGGGACGGACGGGCGAATACTACTGGTTGCTCAACACAGAGAAGTCAAAATTGCATTTCCTAATTCCTAAAACCGAATATGAAAATCAGCAGAAAGTGACATCAGAAGGAACAAACAGTACGTATAAATGATATCCTTTATTCCAAAGAACTACGTGCCAAGTACATTACATGGGAACTCACGTAGGATGTAAATAAGTGCTTGCTTTATCAGGGTGTTTTCTTTAACACTGCTTGGCAACTTACTGTGTTCCATTTCAGCTGAACATAATTTTTAACGTATCATATTGTTTTTGCCGAGACAAGCAAAAATGTCTCTCTATTGCACAAAGAATAGGAACAGTTTTTGTTTTTTTTTAAATAACTACAAAAAGATAAAAAATATACAAATATATTTCAACATATTCATGCGGCAAGCGTTGAGAAAAGCAAGGAAAATACAGACTGCTGTAGTCGGGTAAACTGCAAGTCAGCATTCTCTCCACTAAGACCAATGGCCAAAAATAACTGCTAACTCTGGCTGTACAGATTCTTATAGAAGATAACTCAGGGACTGATCAAGCTTTATTATTACAGACCCAAATATCACAGGAAGAGGGAAAAAAAAAACCAAACCACCACATTCCTGACACTATTTTACAACCTGCCCTTATGGACTCCCATACACCCTTCTCAGAAACAATTCTTCCTTACCTAACTTTCCCTTTCTTGTTCAACTATTTCCTTTCCCAGTCTTCCCAAGTTCCTTAGCTGGTGCATTTGTGGAGTGAGTTTTGAATAGTAATGATTTTGCCCAAGGGTTGCAACACTTAATGCTCAGCTCTGAAGGTTCAGCTAATTAGACGCAGAAGTGGAGCAACCTATGCAAAGCAAGGAAAGTGACAAGAGAGTTCAGAGAGGAACAGAAACTCAGTCTAATTTCATAAAATGACAAACATCACCACTTTTTAAGGCCTGATTGGCACTCACCATCACCCTTGCATGACGGGGAAAAGAGATATGCTAAAGCTTACAATTACTTTAGTCATTCTTACAGTAGAGTGCTTTAAAAAAATCTGAAAGCATTAGAGGAAGCATTTCGGGGCTGCTGACCCTTCCTCACTGAGAGGCTCTGAGCTCACAAGACAGAAAGATGAAAAAGCAGCTATCATTTCCATTTCTTTTCTGTCTGCTCATTTGCAATCTTGCAGAGATTCTCATGAACTATCAACTGAATGTGGCAGCAGGCACCTGAGGACTAACGAGAATGAAAAAGAGGAGCTGCAGTCCAGCAGCAGTGTGAACAAAAGATGATGTTTAAAAGAAAAAAAAAGGAAAAAAAACCACAAAGGAAAAAAAGACAAGGAAAATAAGGACTGTCATGAAATACACCTAGAAATAAATGGAGAGGGGCTTGCTTATAAAATGACTACCCAAATTATAAGCATTCCTAATGCAACGCTTGCTACAAGTTATTTGCCAATAAAAACAACAAACCAGATGTCAGCAACATCTGGAGACCAAATATACTGTATCTAAATGAGAAGTCAATGGGACTTTTCCAATATAAATTAACATGCCACATAGCAAAAAAGGAACGCAGTGCCCAGCATAAACACAAAGTGCCTGCAGCCTCTTCATAGTGTACTTCCCTCACAGTGAAAAAGGAATCACAAACACTACCTAAGTTTTTATCCATGAGTACCCCAAAAGGGGCATTTTCTAGCAAACCAGTTACTGGACACATTCACCTGCAAAACTACTCAATGTACAACCATGACATGAATGAAAATGAAACACTGACTTTCTCAAGTTTAAGGAGCCATTTATCTTAAGTTAAGCTTGATCAAATCACTGATAAAACTTTCTCAGTAAACTCTGCTCCAGTAGATTTTAACTGGACCACTGAGTGAAGATTACTCTTATTCTCGGTATTTGGTAATCTACAAGAACACAAAGCAAGGCTTGCAGCTATCAGACACCTCCACAGAAAAAGGCTGGGCAAGTTCAAGTATCAGGATGAAAGCTGCACTGACAATCTAAAATTTGGAACACCCAAATCCTTGAACACACATAATGAACATGCTACAGTCCAGAGCACATATACTGAAAAAACGTCTAACATGGCCAAGGGCTACAGAGGCTGTAGTTGAGGCAGAATACAAAGTCAGTACAAAGTTTGCAGCTGTACTGCATGGGAAATGACGACAGCTTTTGCTTTTCCTTTCCCATGAAACATACTGACTTTATCGTAAGGCAACTCTGACACCAGTTTGGAACACTGTTCCAAGCACAAGGCCCTCTATCAGATCACCTATTCAGTATGACCACTCTGATGACCCCTAATACATGACCTTACTAGCTAGTTTATCAGAAGCTTTTTCCTGACAGAAGCAACTCAGCTGAAGTCCACAAGGGCATTCCAGCACTCTGCAGCCCACAGGACACAACGAAAAAAAAGCTGTCTTGTTTCCTTCTTGTGGGTATCTGCAAGTTAGAGGACTATAATCTCTACAAGCTTGGACAGATTCCTTACCAAGTCCAACATTTTATATAAAACTTTGTATTCAAGAACACCTGAGTCCTCTGAATGAGATGACACGTGAATACTCTACCAAAGACATACAATGACAATAAGATTAAAAACCCTTTCACTACAGCAGGGATGCAACATGTCACACTTGTCTTGAAAAGAAAATTATGACCTCTTCAAACCTTCTTCCTGCTAGACATGGAAGACCATACTCAACAATCAGACCTTGACAGTTTTGACTGTAACCACAGTGGGAACATCCACTCTTCCAGACAGAGATGTGAAACTTTTGATACCTTTCACAGAGATTTACTTGGGCAGGACTGAATTTCAAGTGCTTGCAATGCTTAAGACAAAGCAGAGGTTCACATTGCAAGCTGATAGTAATTTTGAGACTGAAGCTGAGTATTATTTCTCTCAGCATAGTTTCTCCCTCAAAATAACTTCTCTCTAGTCTTCAACTCGCAAAAAAACACCCATGAAAGCAAAAATCAGTTGTCAACAGTGGCTGAAAAGTTAAATTTAACTGAGACTGGGAAGGTTTGAAATGTTTCAAGAAATGGCTGCACTATGGAGAACAGTTCATAGAGAAACACCACAGCGCTCCCCTTACAAGCCGAGACTGTAAAACAGCTAATAGAGACTTGTACGATGTGCATACCCCTATCTCATGAATGCTGAAAGATGAAACTCCTCTATTTTGAGACCTTCTTTTCTGGCATTAGGAATGCCAAGAACAATTTAAAGTAGATTAGACAGATTGAGAAGACTAAGGCAGAATTATCTACATTTTCTATAGCTAAACTGTCATCTGATGCACACCAGTTCAGCATAATTTAACATACTCTTAAAAGAGTTTGCTCTTGTCGAGAGTAACAAACAATTGCCACCCTAAAAGCACAAGTTTTAGGCTCCACTGTGTTTCCAGGGCAAGAGGAACTATCACCTTTGAATTCTGGCCAAATTCAGTGCAATGATCAACTGAACACCAGGTATCAATAGTAGCCTTTGCATCCGTAAAGAGCAAGGAGTACAGTTCTTCAAAGGTCTTCAAAAATCGGTACATGGCACTAAATTCTTCATTTTCCCTTTAACCCATGATGAATCATAGAATCATAGCTATGGTTTCCTTACATACAAGCACATAGGGATGCATTTCTCACCAAGTCAAGGTGAGGAAAGCCCAGTGTAAGAAGAAACTGCTTTCCTGAGCACAAAGCTCTATTTTCTCTCTTCTCCCCAGCTCCTAAAGATGATGATGAAAAAGGGTTTTCTAAATTATTTGCATTTTCACACTTCGCTATCTAAGTAAAGACCAAGCATGTTTGTTTGCTTACTTGCATTGGAAGCCCACAAAGACTGGAACACACATTTGCCTTTGCTCATTTTCTGTAGCTTTATTAAACCCCAGTTCAGAGCTCTTACAGCAGGAGAGATGTGAAGCAGCTCTGAAGTCTGCACTGACCCAGGAAGCAAGACCTGCTCAGCCCCACTGACATGTTTTCTCCTCCACTCCACAGGCTGATCCAGAGATCAGAAAAAGGGTACTAGAAATGTGGTTTTCAAAAAGCTATCATGCTTACTGCTACACAGACAAATGCAGTTCTGAACAGTTTCAGACACTGCATGAAACAGGCTTTGTGCCTTCACAGCTGACAGGCATTGTCATGGTATTAATACACAGGTAAAAAACAGAATACTTGACTTCCAGTAAGAGCACTAATTAAAAATTCATGCTGCAAGACAATGGTTTTTGAGAAAGGCAACTGGCTACTGTACTCTTTCTCCTCAACAACTCGTCTTTCAAGCATGATTCTATGTCTAAATAGTACATAAATGGGCATCAGGCAACAGAAATCTAAAAAGCGTTACCTAGGTATTGCAGCTTGAATGAACCACAGGGCAAAAGGAGAGAAAATACATAGTGTAGGACTGCGTGGGGACTGTTGTACAGTAGAACCATCAGTGCACCACACACCAGTTACAAAACTATGAGAACCCAGGCAGTTAGGATAGTTCTTTCACATCGGATGGTTAGTTACAGTTTTGCAATATGACTGGCCAGATAGAAGATAAGGGTCGGGATGCACATCCACACACACCATGACAACACATAGCCTTAAAGCATAGTTTGTTTCATTTTTTTCTTTCACTTTCTTCTACTAAGTTTTAGATACTCCTACGCCAGGGAAAGCACTGCAAAAAACAAACAAAACCAAAAAAACTACATTTAGGAAAAGATAGTTGCATAAACAAATCTTGTTTCACCAAAAAAGCCTGAGCAGACCTTCCATGTTTCTTCTGGGCTTCTGTTAGGCTTAATTTCAGTGCTGAACCATTAGCAGATGTGATTTTTCTCTCTTTAGGCTTCGCAGATGAGTAGAGAAAACAACATACCCTCAGTTCTAAAAAGCAGATACTAAGACTATTTTCTGTGCTAACATTCTTAGGATTTCTGAAGTTTTGTATATATACCAAAGATTACTCACAGTCAGAACATAATGAATATTTCATTAACAGAGGTTTTACTGCAAATGTTTCTGAATGCAATAGCAAAAAAGATAACATATCTACGCTGCAATAGTCATAATGAACCTTACAAAGAGTGGCATAAAAGTATTTCCCTTTGAAAACATCTTGATGAATAAAAGAATGCTGACATTTCTGGCCCGTTCAAAGAGGAGAATATTAAATCCCTTTAAGCCTTCTCCTCCTAAAAGACTTGCATTTGAAGATATGTCAACTATACTCAGTGAGAGCAAGTACACTTTGCAGAATAGCGCAGTGATGTTGGAAAGGAAATAGAGGGAATAGTTAAAAAAAACAAACGAACGAAACACCTTAGCAGTACCTCAGTTCCAGTAGTCTTCGACCTCTTTGCAGGAATCTCTTTATCCTGTAGGGAATAG